ATAGATGAATAGATGGATGGATGAATGAATAGATGGATGGATGAATGGATGGATGAATAGATGGATGAATAGATGAATGAATAGATGAATAGATGGATGGATGGATGAACGGATGGATGAACGTATATTTAGGTTAAAATATAATGAATTCCTGCTTAAAGTAACCCTGGTCTGTACAGGAAGTGGCAGCTCATGATTTGTGCCTACTTCACAGAAACTCGTTGTTTTATTAAAAACAAACACAACTTGTAACATTTGTGACCGGAGTTGTTTTAATGCAGATCAGTGATGAAGTTCACGCTGGGCCTCGCTCACATTAGCCCTTTGATCGTCAATCACAGCAGGAATAAACTTGTTTCCCCAAAGTGAGAGTTACCTACAACAGGTAAGATAGTGTTTATAACTACACTGCCCCCCCCAAACAAAAACAGTCTCCACCTGGATTTAACTAATCAAACAGGTCTGAGCCTCCTCTTGGATAATCTCTGCATGGGGGGGTCATCTTTCAGCTGCAACAAGTTATTGAAGGTTTTCTCTCTGTGCTCCGGTGAAGACGTGTCTCCCGGCGCTCCGACATGTGACAGAGCTGAAGAAGAACGTCCCCTCTTATCTGGACTATGGCTGCTGGGGGGCTCTGGACTATGCTAGGACTTTCCCCTAAACTTCAACATCTCCCGGCCTGTATGTTCATGTATCACGTCTGTTCATGTTGCTTTGCTGTGGTTCTTTGTTTGATGCCTCACATGGTGCCCTGTCCAGGACACGGAGTGACAGATCTTTATTTATTCCTCATGTTTTCTTTCATTTTATCATCTAAGCAAAATATTATTCTGAATAAGAGGCCGCGCTATTTACAGCAGCAGCTTCGTGCACTCCGCCCGTCTTCAGACGACTGTACGTGCACGTTCTCGTTGTATCTCGGTGCAATGATAATAAAGTTTATTCTGATTCTGTTGTTTAACTCCAACTGGTGCAATGAGCTGCTTCTCATTTCTTCAACAACACGTCAAAGACTCATGACGTGGTCGTGGAAAAGATGTCCGTCTGTTTGAGAAGAGTCAAATCATCGGCATCAAGCAGAGGAAACATCTCAGGAGGTTGTAGAAACTACTAGATCACAAAGATAAATTCATTGTGAAATAATTTTTTATTAGATTCTTGAAAATGTATGTTAACTCACTCTACAAGTTGATTGACAGCTGCTGTTGATTATGACTTCATAACTCTTTTAATGCCCGTGATGCTGCCGAGACATTTTCACCAGAGTTCAAACAGTGTGCCTTCACCAAACAGAACATCTGTTGATGTTGGAGGTGACTCCAGCCTCCCACGCTAACAGTTAGCCTCCTCCGAGCCGTTAGCCTCCCACGCTAACCGTTAGCCTCCCACGCTAACCGTTAG